TCATGAGCTGTAAGCCATAATCATCACAATGATGACAAATCACGGCTTGAATTATCTTGCTTTGCATGTAATGAGTCTATCTCATATATTAGTTTCACCTTTTAAGTTGCATTAGTGAAATAAATGAACTTTGCACGATATTCTAATTATTCGAGTTTCACCTGTATATGAGGATATGGGAATTACTAGAGGATGGATAGATGGATAGATGGATAGATAGATAGATCTGTGGCTTTAGTCAACCTTCAAATGATAGTCAAATGATGCAAGGTTACTGAAAGAGAAAGTGACTGACCACAGACAATGCTGCACTAGGCAAAAAAAAACAAGATATTTGCACTGTGATTTTTTGCATTTAGGATATTGGTGTAACACTCAGCATACTCTACGCTCACAAGCCTTTCTATATTTCACCTTCCGTTATCAAACACAATATGCTTGTCATGTGCTGATTTCAATGTACTTTCCTAGATCTCAAAAGTATAATTTGGCCAGGAAAGCAGCAAATGCTGATTGCCCTATCTGGATTACTACTGACATGTGCCTGTAGCTTCTCGTCCCACTTGTCATAAAATGTTAAGCTCCTTTACATGTTTCGGGAGTGACCTGTGGATATAGCCTGCTTATTTCTCATCTGGAAACATTTTGCAGGCTTTTATATACACTACACTAACTGTATATAAATGGCCACATATATAATTTCAAAAAGAACTGAAATACTTTTGCTTTATGGGGACACCATGCTTCTGTCAAGACATGTGCACCCATTTTGGTTTGTACATTTAGCTGTACCTCTGTCACAGATCAAGGACGAGAGAAGGCAGAGGAACAAAAAGAGAAAGTTAAAGATTGTAAAATTTACCAGAACAAATGTGGATCCACCAATCCAGCCTCCCTTCCATAAGCACAGGCTTTGGAGAGACCCATACTCCTGACACTTGTAGTTAGCACACACTGCTCTCCAGTAGAAAAGAGACCGGTTTACAGTAAACTCCCCGTTATCCGGCATTCAAGTAACCGGCAGTCTCAAGCCACAAGCAAAAAAAAATTAATAAATTGACATAGGTCCTAAATATTTTTATTTTTTGGTGGCTTAGTGCACACACAAAAAATACCGGTTGCTTGGTGCACACTAAATAAATGTAGTTAGCAACTAAATTTGTTTAGTTGCTAATTAGATTATTTGTTTACATCTTGCTGCCTGCCGAGGGCTAGATTCTGCGGTTGTCAGCAGAATGTAAACAACGTGGAACAATAGCAAGCCTGATATTGGCTATTTCAAATTGCAATAGCAGGCTGGCTATTTAACCTCTTGCCGTCCGCCCGTAGTAAAAAAACGGACGGAGGGCACTGCTGCATTGGCGGGTTGCCGTCTCCGGATTATACTGAAAAATGGCCTGGATGGGAAGGGGGTTTAACACCGCGGATGTCAACTGGTTAACACACCCACTGAGCAGAGGAGCGGACCCGAGAGAGATGTTTCTTACAATTTAAAATAGCCAATACAGAAAGCCTGCCTTATTTAGTCTCTGCTTCAGGAACTAGAAGAAGAAAGGGAAGAAAGTAGCCCCCTGAAAATATGAACAATAACTGAAATTCTGATATCAGATTTTATACTACCTTTAGGTAAAGCTGCTGTCCCCGATTCTCTCCAATCAAATGCGACTGCCCAGTGGTTGTATGCTATGCCAATTTCCATTTTAAATGTTTAGACTTAGCAAAAAGCTGTAAACCCAGGTAACCAAGAAGAATTATGATCAATAATCATGGTTCTTTTATGCTGAAATACCAAACATGACTGTTGGCATTTTTAAAATCCTGCAAATCCTGGAGAGAGCCAAATAGTTAACAACCAACTAGTACATAGCCCCAGATTTTAAAGGCAGGTACGTGCCTTCTCTCCGTTCAACCAATGTTTGACCGTGTATTACAAGGTTGGGAGGTTTTGAGTTATTAAAGTGTTTATACTTTTGGTAAACACAAATTCTATCAATAGACACAGGGTCCTTAGACCATCGCTAAAACACTTATACCAAGTTTGGCAAGTTTTCTCCTGCTTCCAGAACGTCTTTATCAAGCATACCCTGTTATGTAGTATAGGGGTGCTAAACGATTATTTTTATTACTTGATTATAATGACAGTGATGTTTAGCAGCTAACCAGTGATGTGTTAAGCTGAAACATCAAAACCGCCTCATTATTGTTTACAAAAAATACACATCATGCCACCCTGCAAGTTAACTGTTTTAGGGGTCTAGGGGTATGGTGTTAAGCATTTTTCTAACCTGATCCCTACTTCCCCAGCAGTCATCGCTCACCTCTCTCCCCTCCAGCCTGGGGACTGTCCAAATGTTTAATGCACAGCTATGAACCCTACATTAGACATGATTATGTCTGTGGGTCTCTAACCACCAGAGTGGAGAGGGGAAGAGGGTGCGGGCACCGGTCTTGAAACCTGCGGGGGATCAGGTAAGTAAAAGTGCTTTACAAAAGGTCCCCTAGACAAAAAAGTTAAGGTACTTGAATGTATTTTTAAGATGAAACTCCTGAGTTTAGTGTCACTTTAAGAATAGATTCTTCAGCGAATCAAATAACTTTCATATGCCACTGCTTATGTTGGGAATATGGTCTACTGCCAAGTTTAAAGCAACCTTGGAAAGCAAAAGCCTACAGGCTGCTAATATTGATCTGATACCAGCTGAACCATAACCAGAAATCCCCCTTACCAATCGATGTAAGCTCTGCACAAATTTAACCCCGTCAACTTTTTTTTTTTCTTTACAGTAGAACAGGGTAGCAAAGCAAACATGTTGCAATCTTTTTTTATACAGGAAAAGTTTCTCTTTTATAAATTATAGAAATGATAGATGAATCGGTCAACTTTATGATAAAGACATACAATCCTCCTAAGACCACTTTCACACAGCCTCTCTGATCAGGTCCGCCTGTCAATTTTTCAGGCATGGTTTTGTTCGTTTGTTATAGCAATATCTCACCTCAGCACATTACAAATGTATACTTATACACTGCACAATGTTTAAGTATAAGTAATGTTGCCCCAATTCATAAGTATCTATTATACATTGTTGAAACAATTTTCTAAAAACGTATACATTGTGCAAAACATCTCAAAATAAAAAGTGAATGCTGTTTAGTTCACACAGAACAAAGGTACGTGCAGTTTGTTAATGAATAGCTATGCAATTTTATTTTTTTAAATAGACCCCAGCTGAGTAAAATGATATCACATCAGCAAACTCACAAGAATACAAGCCCTCCCCAGCCCCTGCTACCTGCTTGCCTGCTCTGTCTCCATGCAGCCTTCTCAGCCCCAGCAGTGCTTAGACGCCCACCTCCTGCAGAGCTCACATTGTATGGGAGGCAGGAGGACAGCAGCGGCTGTGAATAGAAAAGCCCTGCTGTACACACTCGGCGGCCACTAGGTGTCGCTGCAGCGGCCAGGGAGTGTGTATAGCGGCACTTTTATATTTACAGCCTCTCCTGTCCTCCCGCTGACTGACACTGCTGCGCAAGGCTGAGGAGCTTCTCACCTAGCGCAGCAGAAGTGGATGCTGCGACCCCCTCAACAGTGAGTTGCGACCCACTTTTGGGTCGCAACCCACAGGTTGAGAACCGCTGTTCTAGTGGGAGAACCAAAAGGCAAGAATAAACCGTGTAGGGAGAGCGCCGAGAAAGGGAAGCTGTTGCTTTGATCTACATGAATAAAGCATTGGCTCATTAAGATTCTGACTGGCCTTTTTCTCAAATCAAGACCCTAAGAGGCACTGGCTGTCAGGGTTGGGATTAATGGATTTCTCACATACACCTGGTGAGGGACTCCAGGATTTGTATCTTTTATGGAGAAAACAAATTCTCTTAATAAATTCTGGTCTGGGCCCTGAAGCCCAGAAACTTTGTAGAGTTTTGGGTAGGATAAAGTCTCCAGCCCTTCACCCACATCATACCTGTTAAGGTGGCCATACACTTTACAACCATCGCAAGACCTTAATCTTGCGATGGTTGTAAAGTAATTTAAAAAACGTACGATCTGCCCATCCTTGACAGGCAGATCGTACTTGCGATCATCGCAAGCCCGCCCCCCTGCAATGCTGAACGGGCAGTGTGTGCATGCGCACACCGCCCGTTCGGCATTTGTCTCCCGAGCATCATTCAAACCAGCTGAAAATCGTAAGATTTTCGGCTGGTTTTCTAGCATGCTCCTTAGACAAAAGACGTGCGACCGTACAGTAGAAATGGTTGCACGTCTTCATTCACACTGCACGATTCTCGTACGATCGACGGATTTCCCGCAATTCTCGTACGAGAATCGTGCAGTGTATGGGCACTTTTAGAAAGACTTCACTAATTTAGTCAGCTGAGCCCAAAACTTTATATATGTGAGCTGAGGATCAATGGCTCTCTCTTTCTCACTCTGCTGTGAGAGAGCCTGTTGCTGGGTGAAAGGTTGACTATTAACAATAAATGTGCTGTTTTTTGGGGGGAGCACATTAGGGGGCACCTTGTTAGTCAGGAACAGACATAAATTTAGTTAGTGGCTCAGAGGAGCAGATATTTTTTATTTCATGCTATGGACTTTCTGTACAAAGCCCTGCTGCATTGAACTGGGTTTGTTGGCTACCCGAGTGGCTTGGACTATACCCGAGTGTTCCTGTCTCGTGCATAGTTACCACTGCCACTACCAGTTTAGCTTGTCCCCCTTACAACTCAGATATCAGTAAAAATTCAGCATAGGTTCTTCCCTGCTCTATATTGCACAACTAAACAAAGTTGAGGCTGGACACACACATTAGCAAAACAGGGTAAGCCTGTACCCGCCCCCGTGCCACACACACAAATTATATTTGTGGTTGAAATACCCAACAAGTGTATTGCTGTGTTACACCAGTTTAATAATACGAGTTGCTTGTTGTTGTGTACAGAATATACATTAAAAAAAAGCAGATGGGATGGTTGAACAATCACAGAAAAAAAAACATTACCTGAAAGCACCACCTCAATGAGATCTCCCTCTTGAATATCTGCCTCCGATTTAACCAACTGCAGAATGTTTTCTGAGTTTGGGTCATGGCGGAATAAGAGGATCTTGTCATACATCCCATAGAATCCACATTCGGGAAACTAAAACACAAGAAGATAAAATGTGTTCAAACTAATTCTGGAATAAAAACTGCAAAGACAAGTGACACCGCACATGAAAACATGGTAGGAGAAATGAATGAAAATTCTTCAAAACATGACTGGAGAAATAGCAGGGTGTGCAGCATACCAATGGAATTCTAACACAAACAAATGAAACTGGTTTCCACTTCTATAATTCCATATAAGCAGTTAAAGAAGCCCACATACAGTTTTGGTTAAAAAGTATAAGTAGTCGAAAGTAGGTTAGTGGTGTCAAACTGGTGAAAGCAGCATTGTATTGTGAGTATTTTATTGCTGACTATATAAAGCACCTGGAACCTGTGTGCTGGGATGCCTACAGAGACTTCTGCTTTGATTGTCAGTTTTACCAAATGGACTTGAAATACAAGCTAATGAACAGGACACATGAACATAAAGAAACCACAATATTACTTTCAATGAAAAAAATAGCCCATTTTCGCCATGAACAGAAAACATTGCAGTTCCCGCTTCCAGGCCAGGTATGTTTGATCAATGGATACCAATTCAGTGTCTCTATTAGTTTTAAAATTTTAAATTGGGATAACACCTACTTTATATTTACTACATGTTCTCAATCACATAGAAAGAACTTCAAAACATAGTTAAACATTTCTGCTTACACTTTTAAATGCTTTATCTCAAATTAACCCTGTCCATACTGTGCTGGCAGATTTCATTATCAGCTGTAAACTAGATTTGAACACTGTAGAAAAAGAAGGTTGTTCTTCCTTCATGGGCTCATATGGGACACACATTTAGATGCTTCTAATAAGCCATCACAACTGAAGCCCAAGGCTCCAGAAAACTGCACTACATGCTACTATTTGGAAGGGGTCTACACCATCGGCAGAGAGACCATCTTTTTGAGGTATCCAACCCATTTTGCCATGGAACTAAAAATAAGGAGGAATTCCAACTGCTGATCAGAAGAATCCTTAAAGGCTGGTTTGCCTGTTAAGGTTGGTCACTGGGCTATCCACAGTGGGTACAGACCACTATTTAATAAATTCCCTCTCAAAGGGGAATAGTTTAAACCCAGCCTTAGATGGGGTCCAGGACCCTTCAGTCTGAACACCTTGACTAGTGGATGTAAAGGAGGGCTTTGCACCTATAGGAGCTAGAGGCTGAACCTCCACCTGTAGGGTACTGGGTACTGCATCAACAACAGCCAAAACAACCTCTAATTCTGAGGTGACAAGAGGAAACTACAGTGCCTCAAAAACAGTACAGCACTCTAAAGTCAGGCTGAGGAAAGGTTGATCCAGATAGCTGCTATGGAGAGACCAGTTTAAGCGGTGATGCAGCAAGGAATCTTAACTAAAGTTTACTTGAGGAAAACTTTCTAGAAAAAAAATCAAAGACAACATCTAGTAAAAAATGGTTAGACTTTTCTTCAAAAGAGCTGGAGAAAAGACATCTATCCTTCTAGGACACTAGCAAAAAAATGGGGCATGCTGTGTGTAAAGGGTGGATTGTTCCCAGTGTTCAAATTCCCCCGTAGGCGGCAGTATAACCTGACATTATCTGAATTCCTGTGTCCCTCAATGGATGAGAAAGAAAACACTTTGCAATTTGTAGCTCAAATTAGAATTTGCAAAACCTAAATGAATCTAAAGAAGAGGTTTTAATTCCTATTAATGCCACACTTTATTAGGAAATGTACAACCCCTCAGTACACTCAAAGTCCGGAGTCTGGCTGCAGTGCAAACATTAGCACAAATTGCCATTGTTGACAGAAGCCTCAGGGTTAACATGGTCTTGTTTTTTTGGCAAATGAGGGTATGCTGCTGTTTCTTAACAAGGGCTCTTCTAGCAATTAATAGCCCTTGAGTTGCGTCCTCTGGACAGAAAGGGATCTCCATGACAGCAGAGTAGCATCCGGCGTGCGTTGCCATGGCTGCCCGCTCAAGGTATGTTTGGGGGGTAAATGCCTAGACGTGATTGTGAAGCAAATAAAATCTTATTACACTGTTCTGGGCACAGAAAACAATGTGGTAGTTAAACCATGAAGAAAGATCAGAATGTCATAGCAAATTAACCCATTCCCAGGTAACCACATTCTCTGCTACAGGAGTACAGAGCCTTCAAAATGTTAAGATGGGAGATCTCCTCTCTCACACCAAAATGCATGGTGTTATGACTAATCTTAAACAGAACTTCTTTTTATCCTGTTACCCATACGCTAAAAGAGAATGCCTGCTGTCTGAGACAGTCAACACACTTTCTCATGATCTGCCTGTAAAGCCAGCAGTACCAACATCTGTAATGACAGATTTGCGACTGGTTAATCTCAGCTACCAGCCTGCCAGACAAAAGGAGGGGCATCCGGACTCTGAAACTGGGTTAGCAAAGGACAAAACGGGATGTCAGCTGAATTTCATCACCTTCCATCCTCAAAGAAATCTTTACTAAACAACATTTATTTAGTTAGTATAAACAGCAGCAAAATAACCCTTCAATTAGATCACTACAATCCAAACCTTAATGAAAGCTGAAATCTGATTGGTGCCTCACTTCTCTGTGTCCCTCTCCAGTCTGCAAATGTCACTACAGAGCAGCTCAAAACCAAAACAAGGCTTGCAAGTTGCATTAGTATCAATATGTGTCCAGTGGTAACATATTTCCACCAGGATTCCCAGTTCTAGAAAACTATCACTAACTGAACATAATTGTATAGTAGGTTAGTGCAGAATAAATGTAGACTAACGGTGGGTTGCAGATATCCACGGATGAAGCCTTTACTATGGCCTTAGAGAAGTAGAAATGATGGCCCAGGCGAAGTAGAGTTCGTTGTGCAGTTTCACAGGTCCAAAATGATCCAGCGGTGTCTGCATGCGGATGCACGCGTCCATAGACTTACCTTTGCGTTTCTGCTCGTCTCCCGGCCCGAGAATCGGAACTGCGCATGCGCCCGCCCCAAGATCCTTTGCGGCCGTACGAGCAGTTCCTGATTCTCGGCGCGGGAGTGCGCAAAGAAAAAAAGGTAAGTTTAAACCGCTGTTTTAGCTTTTTTTTTAAACTGTTTGCCTATATCTACTGCTTGATAGCAGTAAAAGCAGGCAAAAAACGGGAGGTTTTAGAACCCCTTTAAAGTGACATTAAAATAGTTAAACCTTAAACATGCATTTAAATATCTTAACTATTAACAAAAATGTATCTTATTTGTGTATCACTTGCTTTAGATCCTCAAATCATCTCTGAATTAGTGCTTCCCCATGGTCCCTGTGTGTGTTTTAAAGTAGCCACGGCTCCAAGATCACTCCCGTGATGGACTACAATCTCATGTTTAGCTTTACTAATTTGTATTGAGATTGAAGTCCATCACAGGAGTGATCTTGGAGCGCTGGCTACTTTACAACACACACCGGGACCATGGGGAACAAAAGTAGCCCCCCTCCAGAAGGAAGGACAGTGTCAGCATGAATTCAGAGATGATTTGAGATCTACAGCCGAGTGATACACACATAAGGTACATTTGTGTTAATAGTTCAGGTACTTGAATGCATATTTCAGATTTGACTCCTGAGTTTAGTGTCATTTTAATCATAGAGTCTATAATTAAACGCATGTTTGTGTGAAACTCATAAGAATGTTTTCCTGGAGTGCCGATATCCTTTCTGTTTATTGTGTACTGAGCGGATGAATGTGGACTGACCAGGAATTAGTCTAATAAATGCTGCAGCTTTCAAAATATTGAAAACTACTTTTGAAATGAAATGAAATGAACATGAATGAGCTTTTATTTTGTATTTTATAAATGTATACACTTTTTTTTTATATATATACATGGAATTTGTTTTAAAACTCCAGCCCAAGCCTCATTGAACCCAGAAGGGTACCCCCTTTTTAGAGTGGCCAGTAGAGGAGGACAGCGCCAGGGAGAAGGTGAGTATTGCAGTGAAAGCAGCTTTTTTTTTTTTAAATATGTTGAGAAGTTTATTTGAAGGAGGAAAAAAAAAATAAAAAATAAACTTGGACTTTAAACTATTATACTTTTAAGCTAGCAAGTCGCTTGATTCCATCATCAATGCTAAACACTGAGGTGGGAGGAATCTCCCCTGCTGTCAGCCAATACCCACAGCTGTCTGAATACCTGAACAGCGACTGCATCTGAAAAAACTCAAGATCGCTGTTCAGCCAACAACTTTCCATTCAGCTTCTTCAAGTTGGCAATCGAAGTTCAAAGAGCCAGGTGGTGCTGACAGGGTCACCCATGGCCCCAATTCTGGCTGATTCAGAAGAATTTGGCTAGCATCAGACTCCATTCATATCTCATCAGATTCCAGTGGAACAATGCAGCCAGCTACCGCAAGGTGAATTGTTGCACAAATCAGTCAGGTCGGTTCACATGCATACAATACAGCGCAGAATTGCAAAGAACATGGCCTGCAAGCATTTTACTGCACCAATGACTGCTTTTAAAGACTGTGGGGTAAGCGGAGGCATGGACCAGTCAGAATCTCTGCTTATGCACATTTTCATTGCAGGATCACTGTGTTATTTCCCAGGTTAGTAATTAAATTACTCCAAAAAGCCAACAGAATATCAAGAAATGGGAAAAATTCAGTCTGTGTAGAAAAATTATTTAAAAAAATGTCTTCAAGCAAAATACAGAACCTTTTCAGGGACTTAGAGTCCACCTGTCAGAAGAGAAATAAAGAGGCTGCCATTGCTGGCTTTGTTCTGAAAATGCTAGTTGCCTGGATTTATCTGGTTGATAAAACACAGACCTGGCATAAACATGGAGCATATAAGTGTCAGAAAGTCTCATCTCTATACTTGTTCTGGGCCAGCGATTCAGTATGTATTGAAGCCAAAACATTAGCATTAAAAGTAGGACAGTGGTATTTTCAAAAAGAGGTCAAACATGGAAACCTTCACACTTCTTAACACGGATACTCTAAATTAAAGAATGTCCCTCTAGGCAAGCAACTATTGGCATTTACAACAGTTCAACT